TTGTTTGCTAATAATGGCTAGGTAAAGAACTCTGATCTTGGAGTCAATTTATGGCTTTATATCCAAGCTCTGCCACTCACTAGCTATGCTCTTCACTCAACCCCTCTGTACCTCAGTTTCCTCTTCTGTTAAATGGGGATATCTGCTCTGTCTGCCTCAGAGGGCTGTTGTGAAGATTAAATGTATATGGGAGGACTTCTTAAAGTTTAAGGTGCTATATTGGTTTTAAGAGGTATTAGTTACTGTTTAAGTTGTTGTTCAGCTGAGATAAAGCTTCATCGTAACTGGAGAGAAGCCTTGCTCTGAAGTGAAGAAGGCAGCTGGAAGTTGACTTTGAGTTCTCCTGTTATGCTGGGCGTTGGCAGTTCTGGGAGCAGAGGAGCCTTGGCATGCTTTGGAGTGGGTTGAGCGTTTATATCTAAGTCTGGGAAGTAAGCAGGAAGTGGGTTGCAGCTCAGCAGGGAGGGAGGCCCAGAGTGAACATGAAATGCTGTTGAGTAAGTCACGGGTGTGGCCCTCAAGGAGCTGTCTTCCCCTCTTTTTTGGGAGGTGGGGAGTGGGAGAGGAGAATGGCAAATTGTTTAAAAATACACATGTATAGAAAATAGTAAAACTGTAAGGTTATCTTATGTATTGTTGGATCCTGGGAAATTCACATTTTTTCTATTCTGTGTATTTTCCAAATTTTCTATAATGAACGTGTATTCTTAAATCAGAATAATAAAATTTTTTTCTTTAAAAATCGGAAGAAATTGCTTTTTACAAATGTGAGTTTATCTTTTTCTGCTTAACCTTTATTTCTCATTTGATTAAAATACTAATAAAATATTTTTTGAAATTCGGATATGTCTTGTCTTCCAAATCAATGTTAGATTTCTATGCTTTTCACCTATATGTTCTCATAATTTGAAGTGGCTAGAGTGTGGAAAATATCTTTTCAAATTCTTTGAATTTCTTTAAAAAAAGTACTAATAAAATATTTTTTGAAATTCGGATATGTCTTGTCTTCCAAATCAATGTTAGATTTCTGTGCTTTTCACCTATATGTTCTCATAATTTGAAGTGGCTAGAGTGTGGAAAATATCTTTTCAAATTCTTTGAATTTCTTTAAAAAAAGTTGGAGTTTTATCTGTTTTAAAAAATTTTAAACACATCAGAGTATTAAAAAATTAGCATGTCCCCTAAATCTATTTTATCACCTCTATTTCATTTTAAAAACATTTAAAAAATTGTTTCTTACCATTGACCTGTAAATTCTAGATCCAGGAATTAATCCTGAGGAAATAATTGGACAAGTATATGAAGATATCAGAATGTTCATCACAGAGTTTTTTTGTATGATAGAAAAAAATGTGAGCCAACGTAAATGTACAAAAATAGAGGATTGGCTTATTAGTCGTGCAGTCATTAATGGGAACATATAGATATATTTTTGACATGCAGATATATTCTCTCCCATTAATTAAAAAACCTTTTACAAAGATACACACACATACGCACACACATCCCATTTTCTCTTCAAAGAAAGGGATCTACGTGTATTCATAGAAAAATGTGTGAAAAGGTAGATATCTATTGAGAGTTGTTGACTTTAGATAGTGGAGTTATGGACTTTTCTCCCTTGATTTATTTTCTCACTTTTCTACACAACTATGTCTTGCTTGGTAACTTTTTAAGGGTAAAAATAAAGGCACTATTAAGTAAAAAGTTTTGTTTAATGACTTGGCTAGATAGACACAGTTTGTGTGACAAAGCTTTTATTCCAAAACTAAATAAACATGTCATTTTCTATATAAAAAGGGTTTTTTAGGTTGATTCTCAGTTAGACGTATACTAGAAAACTCTTTTACCAATGAGGAGATGGATTTTTAATGGTTTATTGTCATTAAATTTTATTTTATGCGTGGTGCTGATAACACTAAGGTCAAGGGTTGAGATCCCCATACAGGCCATCCACCAAAAAAAAAAAAATTATGAATTTTGATTAATTTTATTAATTACAATATGAACTAGCATAGGTCACTTAATTCTTTAACACCTCAGGTTCTTTTTCATTAAACAGGAGCTAATATTACATTAATAAGTTTATTGTGTGAATTTCGGATACTATGGTAAACATTGACCCTATGATTATGTATGTGAGGCACTGTGGAATGTATGTGCTATATAAATACCAACTCTGGTTAATTATTAGCCACTAATCAACAGTAACATGTTCACTGAGTACTTATGAGACTATGAGCACTTGCTTACTGAGGCATATGCCAAATAAGAGGCCCACGGAAGACTAACAGGTGGGGATCAATGATTAGTGCGTGACTGAGGGTGAGCAAGGTGTGGGCAGGGTCGCACCCTGTCTACTGCTGATGTTCAGGGCCTGGGGAGTCAGGCTGGTTAGGGAGGGACAGTCTCCTCCACATGGAGATGGTTCTTGAGCTGTTTGGAAGATGAGGAGGATGTGGGTGAACAAAAGGGAAAGGAATAGCTGCATGAATAAGGAGATGGAGGTGAGGGAGAGATGGGTGAGTCCTGGGCTTGTCTGAAGTGGAGCCTTCATCCTAGTGAGTGTATTGACGAGGTAAAGCCAGGGCCAGAGCATAGAGAATATTAAAAGCTGGATAAGGGAGTAGAAGAGAACTGTCATCAGAAGAAATAAGATTCCAATCTCAAAACCCTTTGCTCTCAGCAGATGATCCAGAACTAACTCTGTTTCCACAGCTGAGCTGACAGACACCTGGATCTGCACCTGTCCTTCCCTCCTACCTCAATGAAAGCACCTGTGGACGAACCTCTGTGCTTTTCACTGTGTGTGTGTGTGTGTTAAAATGTCCCCTTGTTTTGGCCATTTTAACCATTTTTAAGTGTACATTTCAGTTACATTAATTGTATTCACAGTGTTGTGCAACCATCACCATTGTCTATTTAAATGTTTTTTTGTCACCTGAACAGAAACTATGTGCCCACTAAACAATAACTCCTCATTCCCCTCCCCCCACCCCCTGGTACTCTCTAAGCTACTTTCTGTCCCTATGTATCTGCCAATTCTAAGTACTTCATATGAGTGGAATCGTACAGAATTTGTCTTTTAGTGTCTGGCTTATTTCACTTAGCTAAATGTTCTCAAGGTTCATTCATGTTGTAGCATGTGTCAGAACTTCATTATTTTTACAGCTGAATAAAAAATTCCATTGTGTGGGTATACCACTAAAACATCCTTTTTATTTATTTTATTTTTTATTTTTTTTGTTTTAATTTATCAATATACAGTATAGTTGATTTTCGTGTTCCTTTACCAATTCCTCCTTTTCCTCCCTCCCTCTTCCCCCTCCCCCATCAAAAACATTCTTTTTAAATGAAATGGCAATAATAGAGGGTAGTCCCTCTTTTTTTTAATGGCCTGATTTGAAAAATTAAAGGTTGTCTACCTTGTGTCATTTCCCAGGAATTTTTTTCAATCTTTACATATCAATCAAAGCGAAGTCTGGGAACCACGCTCTAGTCCATGTTGCATTCTTTGCAATGTTCTAGTTCTTTTTGGCCTCATCACAAATGGTTTGTAACATGGACTCAGTTAGGCTCAGAGGATGCTTCCTGACCGCTGTCTTTTCTCCTCATTTATATGTCTGCATAACGTGGACTTTACCATCAAGAGAAATACTTTTTCTTGGTATTAGAGTTTTCAAGGATGTGAAAGGATGCTTTTCTAATGTGATGCAATGATAAGACAGAGATGGGGAGAAAGGAATAGTTCACAACCAAATAAACAGTGGAGTATGGGAAGCAGCGAGAGCAGGGGGCCAGTTAGGTTAGCTGAGTAGTGAGTGGTGGGACCCCAGGCATGCTCTGCTCTGCAGTGCTCCCAGCCAGCAGGCCTGGACCATGGTGTTTTTATTTATGAGACCAGGGCTTTCATTAAGAAAAGCAAGATCAAAATAGAAAGTTTCCAACTCTGTGTATAACAAAATAGGGTATCAGGCAGGTGATATCTCAGAACTTTAGTCACTTAGGCCTGCTTGGAAAATTGCTAGTAACTTTTTCATTATTTTTCATAATTTTCCTAAGATGGGTCCTAAATCTCCTTTCCCCACTGCTGAGAGTCCTTGCCGTACCTCCCTGGGGGTTGTGATGAAAGAGGACAGTAACTGCTATGCATGTTTAACGGAGGGTACGACTGTACAATGCAATATTTGTTCATAATCCCTCACGGGAAAGGTCACCAGCTGTACAGGAGATTCACCATCACTATTCCTGGAGCTGCTGGTCAGTGAAAGAAGACCCTGTTGAATAGGGGCAATACTGCAGGTGTGGGTTATGATTTGAGAGGGGATAGGAATGGATGAAAAAATGAAAGGGGAAAAATAGTTTCATAGGAGAAACTCAGAAAATGTACAGGAAGCTCCCTCAGAATCTAGTCCCAGTCCAAGACACTAAGCTCTGAGAAGTTAGACATCTTGATCAAGGTCATAGGGATGAATTCTTCTTATTTCCAATCCAGAGCTTTTTCTTCTACATCAAAGGAAGAAGTTAGTGGGAGTGAACTGGTGACAGGGTAATGAGGTTGGTTTTGATCTGTTGTGTAATGAAAAAACACTCAAAGTCCCTGTTAAGGGGGGCTAAGTTAACCTGGATTTTAGCTGTCAGGGTAAGGAAGCTACATTTTATTAGTTGTCAGCATTACTGATATGTTTTTCCTAAGATAAAAACTATTACCAGGGAAATTATTTTATTAAAGTATTACCATTAGGGGCAATGGGAGGAGATGAGATTTAGATGTTTAAATAAGTATTCATATTTATCCTGATTACGATGTGTTGGAAAGAGATGTAATCAACTCCCAGCTCCCAAGGGTGTTTAAAATCTCTTCCTAATCTGCTTTCATGATCTGATATTTATAACTCAACTCAATGCCTTGGCTCCTTCTTGGCATTTCAGTGCACTCTTCTCTATAATGGTACCTTTCTAGGCCAATGGTACCTTTCAGACTCCAGATGCACCCAGTAGGAAGTTATTTTGAAGCACTCCAGGTTATCTAAAGACATACAGTCTTTATGGGATTGAGGAAATAGCACGATGAAGGAAAACCAGCCTAATTTCTAATTGCTTCTTCACAAGACTCTCTGTCTGATGATGTGTGTGGCTTGGGGAGAAGGCCATCTGTTTCCATCAAGGTAAGAATTTGGAGAGGGAGAAGTGGAGAGAGAAAAGCAAGCAAGTTACTGCGTGCTGAGGGTCTGCCTGGCACTTTGTAGACACCAGCTTACTGGAGCTTCACAATAACCCTAGCATGTAGTCATTTTTCTTTCTTTCTTTTCTTCTTTTCTTTTTTTTTTTGGGGGGGGGGAATCCAAACCCTTGACCTTCGTGTACCAGCACCATGTTCTAACCAAGTGCGCTGACCGGCCAGCGCAGTTTTCATTTTCTAGATGAGGACATTATAATGACAGAACTACACACTTGATTCTGAGAGCCAGGGATGTCATAGCCTGCAGAGTGGTCTTACCTCCCCAGGAAGGCTCATGGACAAACACACTTTCATCCGTTTATCACAGATGCTAGGGAGTCCTGTTGAAGTATGATTGGATACCTAGGGTCTTTCAACGTTCTTTTTCCACACGTTTTAAGGATATGACAAAGAGGGTCTGAGGGGGGCTTTCTCTGCCGTCTGCAGTAGCATCTCTCCGGCATTCTGAACCCTGTGCCCTGGCTCTCTTTTCCACATATACTTATTTATTACCTATTTGTTTTACTAGAATGTAAGCTTTATTAAGTCTGATGTGAATTCTATGATGTTAGGAATTTCGTTCTGCCCAGCTCCTAAGAGAGGGCCTGGCACGTAGTAGGCATTCACTAAATACTCGATGAATGAATTTGTTAATGCAAGGCAATGCCAGAAGCTTCCTAAGAGGTGAAAGCTTAGATGTCAGCATGGCTCTTGAGTAAAGAACAAAACCAAAAAGGAGATTATTCCCATAAAGAGAAATGTTAAAGAGTGAGTGAGATATGGAGAACAGGCAAGTGGGGGGAGTAAAGAATAGAGTCACTCACCCCAAAGTTCAATTCAGTGCACAAGAAAACTACTCCTGTTTTTCTCATGTGCAAATGTTTGATGCACCACCTCCTCCACCTGATAGTTACATTAAAAAGGGATTGAAAAATTAGGATCAAAGATACAACTGCTGTCCCATGGAAGCAGCAGTCAAGAGAGAGCCCAAAATGACAGTGACAGTTTTCCTGTGCATCCACTCTTCTGTTATCTACAACTGATCTATGACACTTTGGGAAGGGACAGCTAAAGTTAGCTGAGCGAGGTGCACCTGGTTCCTTCCCCCAGACTCTTGTTCTTGTTTTTTTGGCAGCTGGCCGATTAGCCTTCTCCCATTCTGAGCATGCCTGAATTAAGCAACAGAACACAAACACAGGGAACCCATCCCACTGCTAGACCTCATGGAGGGGTGCTGTTCATCTGCAAGGTGCTGAAGGGATTTCTGCTAGATTGAGTGAAGGGGACCACCCTGCCAGGTGCTAATGAGGGCTGAGAGCCTGGTTTTAGATCTCATGAACACGGACTGCTTTGGAGGCATGAGGGGTAAAGGCAAGAGTGAGCAATAGGGACAGACTGAACGTTTGACTGGAGTCTCCTCAGCCACTGTGGCTGGTGACCCTCAGCAGGCTGGCAAGGCTCAGCCCTCCTGTGGTGGTTGGCAGCCCTGGGAAGGTGGGGGCCACACCAGGCCTCAGGGGAGAATGCCCAAGTCATCGACAGCTTCGGCTCCCTCCCTTTCCTTGGGCTGCTGGGTCATGGAACCTGTTTTCTAGCTCCTAGTTTAAGGTCCTTGAGGAGAATTCCAATAACACCCAGAGGGAGTGCTGGGGTCCAAGAAGAATCCTGTCTTGGATTAAAGGTGTGGATAAAATTCTCATTGTATAAAGATGAGAAAGTAGAAATTTTCCTCACAGTTTGGGACCCTATAAGAAGAGTGTATACTTAGGGCAAGAAAGCATTCCATTCAAGAGCCGTTCATACCAAATATTTACTGAGTATCTCTTATGTGCCACCTCCCTTGCATTCTTCTAGATGCTCAGAATAGAGCAGCAGACAAAAGTAACAAAAATCTCTGCCTTCATGGAACGTATATTCTATCACAGAAAAACATTTTCTGTAGGAAAGAAGCCAATTTTAGACAGTATCTGCTCTGTTCTCTCAAAAAACAAAGGATTCTATAAGTCTTCCACTTGAGGTATATACCTCCAGGAGACGTCCACATGTGCACAAGAGATAGGCACAGTGAAGTTCACTGACACTTGTTCATGGTAGGGAAAATTGCAAACAACCAAGATGTCACTAGAAAAAAGGATAAATAGATATGATTTATAAGAGATAGGCACAGTGAAGTTCACTGACACTTGTTCATGGTAGGGAAAATTGCAAACAACCGAGATGTCACTAGAAAAAAGGATAAATAGATATGATTTATGTTATAGAACTCAAGCATAGAGGTTTTTTCTCTGGGGCCAGAAGTCTAGGTTTAATCCAGCTGTACCACTCACTGGTCTTAATTTCTTCATCTGTAACATGGGGATTAATAACAGTACTTGTTGGGGCCGGCCCGGTGGCACACTGCTACAGTGCGCCATTTGGTAGTGCGGCGGCGCTCCCGCCGAGGGTTCGGATCCCACGTACAAACCAGCTGCTCACTGGCTGAGCAAGATGCGGGCGCAACATCGAGGGTTGCGATCCCGTTGCCGGTCCCAGTCCGGTGCGGGCGTGACACTGAGGGTTGCGATCCGTTGCCGGTCACGAAAAAAGACAAAAAGGAAAAAAAAAATAACAGTACTTGTCTCCCAGGTTGATTTGAACATCATATGAGAAATGTAAAGCACTTAGAATAGTGCTTAGTAAACAATAAGCTCTTAATAAATGTTAGCTGTGTATATTATTTTGCTGGTGATGGAGTTAAAAAGGAATAGGCTTTATCCCACAAAGTTAAGAAAAAAAAGAAAAGGAATGAACTAAGTCTGTTATATCGACACGAATGGATCTAAAAAAATGTAATGCTCCTTCATTTTTTCATTCAACAAATATTTACTGAGTGTCTACTATGTTCTAGGCAGTGTTCTAGGTACTTGGTAATCATTAGTGGACAAAACAAAGATCCTGCCTCTGTGGACCTTATATACCAGAGGTGGGGAAACGGATGTGAAATATAAGGAAATGATATGTTAGGAGGCAATAGGTACTGTGGAAAGGGGAGACGGAAGCCTGGTACAGGTGTTTGGAAATGTCAGACTTAAGGTGGAGGTTGGTTGAATTTTAAGCCAATAAAACAAATGTGAGAAAATGTTAATGATTATCAGCTCCAGGTGGTGGGTATGCAGGCTTGAAGTATTATTTATTTTGCCTTTTTCTATATTAAATTTTTTCTCAAAAATTTCTCTCTATGATATAAAAGAATAAGGAAAAATGGTACAGAGTCTAAAATATAAAGGGAATTGGCTAAGAAGCAGAAAATTAAAAAGGAGCTAAATGAGATGTATATTTAAAAAAGAATCTAAAGTAAATGTTGGAATTTTAAAATCTGTTAAGATAGAGATGAGCAGAAAATCAAACAGTAATAAAGAAGATAAATATGAGAATAAATATAACCAAGGCAACAATTACAGACATACTAGAACATATTGCTGAGCTGAAGACTCAGAAGTGGTAAAAAATCAATTCAAAACCTAGACACATCCTGGTAAGGCTGTTGCAGAAGCTGTTAGTTAACTATCCATTCCTCCTCAGCAACGCTGTTTTATTGGGTGTGGCAATGTGCCCAGTTGCCATGTAGAATATGGATGTGAAGGCTGGAGCTGCAGTGGCACCGTGTGCCCACTGGGAGGCCCCTGAAGAATGGAAGCCACTTGGTTAGAGTATGGTGCTGAAAACACCAATGCACCAAGGTCAAGTGGTCAAACCCTCAGACTGGCCAGCTAAAAAAAAAAAAAAGAGGGCCGGCCCGGTGGCACACTGGATAGTGCGCCGCTTGGGAAGCGCGGCGGCGCTCCCGCCCGAGGGTTCGGATCCCACATGCAGACCGGTTCCCGCTCGCTGGCTGAGTGAGGCGCGGGAGCAACGCCGAGGGTTGCAGTCCCGTTGCCGGTCCCCGGTCCGGTACGGGGGCAACACTGAGGGTTGCAATCCGTTGCCGGACACGGAAAAAAACAAAAAAACCAAAAAAAAAAAAAAAAAAAAAAAGAGAATGGAAGCCATTTGCTAGGACAGATGGTAGACTTTCAGGTCCAGCCCTGGATTCTACCTCTGGATTTTTTTTCACATGTGAGATATATAAATCTTAATTTTATTTAAGCCAC